TTTCAAATTTAATTTCTTTCAAAAATCTTACTAAGAGTAGTAGGATTGATCGGGTGTAGACTTTCAATTTCCGAAAACCGCATTGGGTTTAGCCCAGTATTTCTTCTGTTACTTGGCTACTATATTCGCAAACTATTTTTATAAAGAATTACCAAGTGCAGAGCAGCAGTTTTTACAATTGTTAAATTGTATATTTCATTGTTGAATATTTTATTAATACTATGAAACTGGAATAGTTTTATTAGTAACCAAATTATGAATTATCATATATTCAATAAAAAAGATAAGGGTCATGTATCATTTAAAAATGAAATGTTTCAATTGCAGAGAGCTCAGGCAGCAATTCTTGCCTACAAACAAGTTAATATATAATATTTCTTAAGAATATACTAGCGTACGGAAAGGATATCAAAGATCAATACTTCACATCAGAATTAATTTTATATTTAATATTAATATTAAATTAGTAATATAAAATTACATATGTATTATATATCTATTACTATTATTTGAAAAGGGATAGTGCACTGCAACCTCAAAGACCTATTGTGCTCTTATTCGGAACAAAGTCTTTCGTTTTCTTCATCACTGTTGAAAAAAAATGAATAAAAATGAATAGAGTTCCTTTGAGAAGACCACAAAAAGGCTATGGGCCTATCATTATTGAAGCTTGGCCTCTTCTTTAAGTTTGTCTGCCATTTCATTGCCTTGGATACCAGCATGTCCCGGAATCCATATTAAGTGCACCTGATTATACCTACCGAGTATGTTCAACTTTTCAATGCATTCCTATACCAGTTTGATGTTCCCTGGTAGATTATATATCTTATATATTACTAATATTATATATCAGCATATCCTATTATATATCTTATATTACTTACTTAAAAAATTTCCGAGACACGATCTAACAGATTATAGTATTTTATGGCCTATTTATTTATTTAAAAAGATTTTTTCGAATATCACTCTTTCACAAATTACAGATAAGTATTATTTTAGACGCATCTAGAATGCTTAATGGTTGTGTCAATGGTTTTTGTTTGGTTCCTTAATTGAAACACAATAAAGAACCCCTTTAATAATAGAGATGGAATCATTCTTATTAAAAATTTATTTGGTGTATACTCATTAAATAGCAATACATAGGTTTATAGGAAGCACGATTATACTTATTTCCATGTCACAGCTCATGTCACAGTTAGCTGGACAGTCTGATTATTGTGATGATCAAATTCTTTTGGCACAATTTTTTGAAAGAATCGAGAACGAAATTAATATTGTATATTAAAATGGTGTTGTAATTCAATTAACGCGAAATGTTAACTTTTTGCATTCATTGCAATAAAAAAATAGATTTCGAAAATTATAGTATAGTTTTACTTATATCAAATCAGAAATAACTAATGGAAGTAATAATATATTAAAGCAATATGAAATTGATTGAACCATAAAATATTTTACTATGTTTTTAATATTAAATACTATATATACAAATAATATATATGACATACTCGGATTATCCTATAACTGCAGGCGACACATTTTTAGGTAGTGAATATGGAAATGCCTCCGCCTAACTTCATTAACACCTAATAAATAATGTGATTAGAAAATTTATTTTACTGAAAACTAAATATAGCAATATAAACATTATAGTACATAATATACCAAGACATTCAATATGACTTTCTAAAATGTTATCTATCGAAATTACTGACCAATGAACATTTCTTAATTAAACTCTATAACTATTATGCCGATAAAAGAAATATGAAAATGAGAAATTAAACTTCTCTATGCGTGCTTAATGGATAGCAAATAATAGTGACTATATTAGATTATTATTAGATACAAGATATATCTTACATACAATAACAGATATATCTGAACGACATGATTGAAAAGTGAAAAGAAAGTAGAGCATATCATTTGAAGTAAAAAAAAGAAATTAAAATCTGCATTTTTAAAGTTATTAAGACATCACAGGTTTTATCTGTTTCAATCTTGCTAAAGTATCTCTAACAAGATTACTATAATTTGTAATATCAATCTAATTCTTGAAAGAACACTGCTAAATTTGTTTTCATATCTTATATTAATTTTCATAAAGTAGCATAATGATTAAATTTAGTGTTTCGGTTTTCAGATAAATGGAAAACCACACCTACCTACCGAATTACATCAATTAATATATAAACACAAGAAATCGCAAGAGCTATGGCATTCATTATATATATATAGTATTAAAGTAATATGAGAAGTATGTTTTGGAATTATAGAGAAAACTATCTATAAAACTGAAATGTGAATACTGTGTTGTTTCAAGAAAAAAAAATCAGAGTACAAAATATGGAAGATATAGAAAAGTGAAATATTAACAAGTAATTGCTTTTTAAAATATTGACCCTAGTGTATGTCGTATTCTATGGTATGTACCATGCTTTCATACTATTTATTTTAATTTCTAAATATTTTACAATAATATGGAAAACGGTATGTACATATAAATGTAATTATAATAAAAGTAAATAATTTCTATTACAAGCAACAATAGCTGGAGACTTTGTTGTGAAGAAGAGGAAACAGTGGAACACATTCTATGTCACTGTTATAGTCCTGTCAGACTCAGACTTCGGTAGTTATCAACTGCCTATCCATTTATAACTGAATAAGGCAACATCTCTCCAAAGGACATAATAGCATTCTTAACTGCTACTCGTCTATGAAACTAAAGTGAGTGTGTCACAATAAATCTCAAAAGATGCAGTAATGTGGTGACAATTTCCCAACCTGTTTAAAACTTATCTAACTATCTAAATAATTTTTAAGTGCTGTTTCTATGATATAATATATTATATATCAATATTAGATTGATAATAATATTATTACGAAATTAAATCATGATCTGAACATGTACATTTGATTGCTCAAAATACAAAGTAAAAAATGATTTCGGAAACTTAGTTAGCAAAGAAACTATTAAACTATCTGTTAAAAATATTAATTTAAAGTCGCAAGTATGTGTAGCTTAGACTAACTTTGCAAAAAATTATAATAATATTTTTCAAACAACATTTCAATAGAACATAACATATAAAAAATACGATCTGGAGACAGATCAAAAACGGTGTACAGAACGCTTTTGACTTAAGAAGTATGAAAGTCATTCGTTGAAAATCATTCAATATACCGTAACAGATATAATGGAAATGGAAATTCATCGTTAATCTTATTTGGGAAAGGGCAACGTTTATAACTATTTTAAATTATGTATTCTCCAAATAATTATAAGGATTATAAAAAAAAACGAAAGATTGTTTCTTTCTAATGCACAGAGGGCACTCTACAATGTTTTGTAAAAACTGTGGTTATAATTACCATTCGATTTTTCTTCAACATCAAAAACTCAAAAATTGAACTATTTATATAAAATTCAAGCAGTGATTTTCTACTATCTATACTAGATTAACGATTGCACCTTATGATAGTCTTCTGGAAGATGTGTCATATCTATTCTATTAATCTTCAATGTATAATAAATAAAGAAGAGTCCATAAATTACCAGCACATTTTTAATGTTTCTATTTTATAGGAATTTACATATCTTTATTATGAATGGAAAACATTTTCGAGAACAATACTCGTATTGGTTCCAAAAACTTAATTTCTCCTTTAATCAGAAAAGTAGATACGATTTGTTATATTTAAAAAAATATAAAATGAAAAGCAAAAAAAATTTTTATATTAATTTAATAATCGATTAGTAAGAAGAATTTATTTATTGCACTAGTAGATTTTTAATCAATTATTATATATTAGTGAATGGTGGATGGATTAAGAGTTCTTTAGCATTGCTTAATAAAGATAAGTAATTTAGATGTATTTACAATTATGGCTAATGGCATTATTATTTTTTAACTTTTTCTTTATTCGAATGACTCTTTTTATGCGGATTCGATCCATCAGATTCGAAGTTCCCACAATAGATTCAAAATCTTGGCTTCACTAATATTATTTTTTTTTTCTGTTTTTTTGTTCTTGTTCAGATCTCCTTACGCTTCAACATTGTGAATCGCTTTTTTGGATGATTACCTAATTTTTCAAGACATAAAAATTGGTTCTCCAAAACATAATTTCAAAATTCTTAAATTCATTGATTATAGATTTGTTAACTTTATTACAATTTAAAATATACATATGCAAGTACTGAATACACTCAGCGGTGTTTATAAAGGGGATATTCAAAGTTTAAATTACTTTTAAAGAACTTTTTTGAATAAAATATTATCATATGAATTTTAAATTATTTTTTAATACCCACTTAAACCCACTTAAACGGAATTCACTATAACTCACTGTGTGCCTAGGTATTTGTGGCTTTATTTATTTTGTTGAAGTTAAATATATAACTTAATGGCTTATCCAGTAAAAGTTGTAATTCTTCTGCCTCGTAGATTAAAGTCTAATCACATTTAAAAAAAAAAGATTCCTTACACGTTTTCTGTATTAGTTTTAAAATTTAATAGTTTTCCTGAAGCTACTTTTATTCGGGATTTTGTGATTTACATCCACACATTTTGTTTGTATAGTATCTTCTACCGCAAAACATTGTTCTTTACCATGTATGGCCGGCCTTGTGTCAAAACAATGGTCTGTTCCTAGTTATCCCTCTGATTCAAAAAAAAGTAATAACTTTGTTAAATATATTTTTAATTTTATAGTAAGTTTTATAAAAAAATATTTTATATCTTACAAAAACGTTCATTTCTTGTAACCCTACAATATTTCAATATATAAAAATATTAAAAATAACAGAACTTGATTTTATAACAGAAATCTTTAAAACTAATAAAAATATTATGTTTATGTAACTCCTAAATATTTCAATATAAAACTATAGTCTAAAATTATATTTCCATATAAAAATTTACATATTAAATTCATTAATAAAATTTTTTTTAATATTTATTTTTTAGGTATGCCATCCTGTCACTTCAACACCTTCAGTCTCAAAAAGATTAAGTAAGTACGCCCAAAAAAACTATAGTAATATATGCATAAATTAACAAAATCGAGATCAACTCTTGAAATTGAATATCTAAACAAGTAATATTTTTACAACAAACACAATATATAACTCTAAATAACCTGAAGATAAAAGCTTGTATATGCAAATTTGCAACATTTCCTGCATAAATCCAATGAAATTGAAACTTTTTATTGCAAAAATAGTACACAAAAAAAAAGAAAAATTTGTAATAAAAAAAAAAATTTATAATAGAAAAAAATTTTAAATAATGTAGAAAATCCTTAACGTAGGTTCAAGACCTCAAATAGTGCATTACGTTTTCAAATTTATCACTCAAGCATTACCAGCAATTCCATTGCATCGCTTTTAACCCAGCATGAACCCAACTTATGCCACATACAACGAGGCGCATTGGTTACATGATGATTGCATGCCACACTGTCTCCGCGCACTGTGCCACATGAAGTGCATAGCGATGCGCACGCTGCCAGCACCACAGCACCAATAAACCGCATCTATTGTGCAACATTTGCGCTGTTTTGTTGCAAGCTGCAACCTCAGCCTCCACACTGTGCCACACAAACTTGCCATTTTTCTTATCTACCCTCCTCGAAACGTCTGTGGCAGCAACCCACTATTACGTAACGCAGAGTTGCATATGTAATGCATTTGATTGGGGCACATTCAAGTGCCAACAAGTAGTTGCCGTCTGCCGTCTGTCGTCCGTTGCCAGTAACCCGTCGTCCGTCGTCCGTCGTCCGTCATCCGTCATCCATAGTCCGTCGCCTTCAACGTTTATCATCGTCATCGTTTTCGCATCTCGCAAAGTCGATCGATAGACGACTTTGCTGTTTGCAACTTTTGTGGGTCTCTTGTATCATTTCTGGTCTTGTTTGAAAAGTTTTCCGCTTTTCACGTTCAACGACGATGATCGTCATGAAATTTGTTTCTTATTTCTTTTGATTTTTCTTTTTTTCTGGTTTTCTATAGTTTTTCTTCATTTTCATGTTGGCTTCAGTTGTTGCGCAATTTTCTTATAATAATTTTTTTTTAACTGCTGTAGAATTGAAAAACAAGGAGCCATAATAGATGTTGTGGCTGAAAGTGAATGGATTTTACACTATAAAAAAATACATATAAAATATAAATAAAATACAAGTTTCAATTAAAAATCTATTAAATTTATTGATAGTCAAAGATAGTTATCATAATAACTCACAATAAAATCTATAAAAATAAAGGTTATTATTATTATTATTATTATTAGCATGTTAGGAGAATTTGTACTACGACCTAGAGATCCATTGTGTTATAATTTTCTCTATAAATTGTAGAGTTGAACTTACATTACGGAGTTTTATGTATGCATTCAATATGAGATGCCCACCTTGGTACTTTTTTCATTTATATATATATTATATATTATTATAATGTTAGGCGGGTTTACATTATAACCTAGAGATCTACTATGCCATAATTTTCTCTATAAATTATAATATTGAACCTGTAAGTTTGAGACTTTTATTTCTTCATTCAATATGAGTTGCTCCTCTTGGTATTTTTTTCATTTATGCCTTATTACCGGAAAAACTCCTAGCATATATTTTGAGGTCTTTTTGTTACAAGGCATTGCTTTCTATCAAAGGTGTTTCTTAACATATTCAACTTATATTTAATTTAACTAAATGCTTTTGACTTTATAGAGTAATAAGTAATCGGTTATATTAGTAATCGAAGAAATGACCATTTACAGTTCTATCTAAGTACTCAGCTTAAGTTATAATTTGTAACTGTGCTTTTATTATACTCTAGCGTTCTGTACCACCAGTTGGCGACAGCAATCCACTGATCAGGTTGGCTAGCTGAGGCTACTGGGCGTGACCAAGGACGTCTCATGTATGTAATGGCCAACTAAGTAAGTAATTATGTTTTATTATACTCACATACAGTAGAATCCCTAAAATGCCATTTATTGCCATGGGTTAACCGTAATACATTTCTACTTATCTTTTATTTAAGCTACTTTTCCTTCTTATACAGCTTCATAACAATTAACGAACTACAGTTTTGCTTACAGTTTCTATCTATATCGCCGATTTCCGTATTTCGTAGTTTCAGAGTTTCTCTTCATATTGACAGATTCAATGTTTTGTGGTTTCAGTCCTCTCCAGATTGTAGTTTTGGAACTTTTCTTCATATCGACTGATTTAATATTTCATAGTTTATGGTAATTGCTTTCTTTTAAGTTTTTTTACAATTGCATCTAACCGCCGGTTTTTTGATAATTACCTTGCTTCGTGTTGATTTCCTTTTAGAAATTTTCACTAACTCATTGTCACCACTAATACATATAAATTCTACAAACTATCGTAAATGCTATAATCTCAGAAAACATATTAATGTAATATGGCTACCCAGTTCTTTGAGTTTTATATTGTACCATATTTTGCATAAGTCTCCATTCAATCTGTTCTAATACCTATCTCTACATTTTTTAAAGTTTGTTAAATACATACAATTAAAGTAGTTTGGATAAATATTTTTTATCTATTGTATTTAGTTTTAGTACTTATTGTTAATAGCTTCGACTGCAATCGTTTTTATTCTGGACCGTAACAGATCTCTAAGTCGTAATATATAATTAGACGATTTCTTGAAAATAAAATAATTTTATATGAGAAAAATCTCACAATTCAATAATTATAAAATAGTTATATATTAGAAAAATAACTATAATTATTATTTAAACCACTACGAAGGTTTAACAATTAAAATAGTTTGTGGGCCGCAATAGATTTTTAGAATGCAGTTCATTTTCTCCCAATTTAACATGAATAAAGTATTATATGAATTCAATCCTTCTATAATTTGCTCTACTAAACTAATATTATATTAATATAATAATATTATGTCATATTAATATTAAAACTCATAGTATAATAATAGAATAATATATATTAAACTGCATTATATTGTATTATAGTGGAACCTCAAAAACATTAGATATACATATAAGACTACATACAAAGTTTGATGTAGTTTTATTGCTAATATATTTAACGTAAAAAAAAATATATTATTAGAACTACTTACTGCACTGCAACTGTATATAAGACGCGACATTAGTCTAGCCTAATTGAAAGAATTTGGTCTTTAATTTGTAATGAAGATGATTCTCTTTAAATATTATGTAGTAAGTATCTATTTATGATTTTTATGATTTAAAAATCAGTAGTAAATTTAGAACTGATATTGTTTCACTACATTAAGTGATACTTAACTTTCCTAACTTTATTTAGAAAAATAAAGTTCCACTACATTAAGATTCTTCATCATAATCGATGTATAACTCAACGTTTCTTAATAAGTGCTGTATATGTTTTTTTAGTGGTTATTAAAAAGTTGGGGTCCTTTAGCACTTTTACTCTTTCTTACTAGCCCTATTAATGTGTATTAATTTTGCTTAATTTGTGAGCATTTTGATGTTAGAATCCAATAACTTATATTCTTTGTTTCGTTTTTTATTGTTCGAATATTGACAGGATCTCTATGTTTTTCTTGTATTATGAGAATTGAGTTTTCCTTTACTCATCTTATTTAAAACCCTCTTCGTCTTTTATATATATAAATATATATATATTTTTTAGACATTATTAGAACTTATTGGTCGCTATGAGTATTAATATTTCTGATATCTTCTTTCTTTTTAGTTTTCGTTTCCCCTAGAGCACAGGGCCGCAAGGATTCTCTTAAACATGCACATTCCTTTTTTTCTGCATATATCGTATCATGTGTGCACATATCATTTCTTGTCCTTCTCCCATGTTAAAGCCGGTGCACCAGGGCGTCTGCTGTTTTGTGGGTTCCACGTTATATACGCTATATATATATCATTATCTATGTATATATTTTATAAATGTTTCTATTACATTAAAATATTTCTTTGAATAATATACTTTAAGCATTATTTCGGAATGTTCAAATTTTATTAACAGTAGGGGTAGTGGGTTCAATGAAAACATATAGTATTACAATTAATTTACAGAAAGGTATTCTGCTGTATATAAACTATTTATATACTCATATGCTTTTAAAATTAATTTTAATACGTACCATTTTTCCCGAAATGTTGCTGCAACTGTCTGATTACATATACTTTTCTTGCTAATATTATTGAATTGAATTATTAAATTTAAATTATTACTACATTGTCTTTATATATAGTCTTATACTAATAGTTGTGTTAATATGTATTGATATTCAGATGTCTGAGTGGGTGAATCAGCACCTTTACTCTATTTTATCTGTGGACAGTTTTAAGTCACACTAACAATAACTGAATACGGGGCTTTATAATATGATGGATCTGATGTCTGATGTTGTGTTAATATATCTATAATATAACTATATATAATGTATGTAATATTATTGAATAGATTATTAAATTAATATTACTCTTTTAAATTACTAATACTTAAATCTGAAAATACTAAAATTACATTATCTTTATGTATAGTCTTACACTAATAGTTGTGTTAACATATCTATCATATGCAAACGAAACACCTGGCTGGGTCTCTCATATGCAATGAAGAAATATAACTCTGTACTGTAGGTTAAACAGTTCAACTCATAGAAAATATTGGATTTGCAAAAATTCTCTAAATCCAGAATTTTGTATTTTGCAATACAAAATCTTTAATTATAATAGTATATATCACAACTGTGTTGGATTTCAACTACGACTTTAAACGCATAAATGGGGTACGCTCCGTCTCTAGTTAGTAGTGCAAAATTCTCAACTTAATTATTGTAATAATATTTTATTTATAATAATTCATTTATTTAAATAATTTAACCTATAAGTTGTTGTGAATCTCAAAACATTCGTTGGTATTTGTTTTGTTTTAATATACAAAATATTATCAATTTTTTTTTTTCAAGTGTATAAAAATCATATGCTTTTTAATATTACACAATCTAAAACTAAGCCACAAAATCTTGTTTATAAAATAGTAAAAAAAAAACAAACTGAAGAAGAAAAAAAATTGCATAAATGAAAAATAAAAATATGTACCGACATATTGAAAGGAAAACTACAGTCACAGCATGGAGCCTATTAAACTAAAAAAGAAAAACTAAGAAAAAAAAAAGAAAAGAAAAGCACTACGCGATCCGATCGTGTAAAAATGATCATGGCTTAGAGTCCATGTTTTTCATAGCACTGAGACCTACAACTCACTTATTGCCCCGCGCTCAACGATCGTTTGATTAAATAATGCAAAACTAGTTGCAAACTTGCATTTTCTTTTATTATAATTTTTTTTTTCTTGTGTGACTTCACTTCACATTTTCTTTAATGTTATTAGCTGTTGACTTAATTTTCCTACTTTCATGCAATTGGAAAAATTAAAATAAATAAAAATAAAAATAAAAATAAAAATAAAAAGAAAATTTAAACTAGTTTTCCATTTTTATGGTCGGCCGACAAAGCCAAACGATCGATGTAACCATTTTCTTTATAATTATTTAACAACATTGTAGTCTATTGTTGTTGTTGTTGTTGCTATTGTTACTTCAATTGATATTATGTAAACATTTTTCCATGGTTTTTATAACTTCATTTTTCTTTTTCTGTTTTCTGTTTTTTTCTTTTTATTTGTTATAAAATTTTTCATGAAGTTTTTCACAAGTGATCTTGCCTTTGGTGCTGTTGCCCCGTTTGATTGCTGGCTTACAAGATTATTTTACCATTTACATCAGCATTTTAGATACTTTTTTTTGTGTTTTATGAACTATTCTTTTTTTTTGTTTTTGTATCTTATTTTGTTTTTGTTTATAAATTTAATTTCATGACGGAAAACTCTGGAAAACTTGTTCTTCTAAAACTGTGTTCACTGTTACGTATTGCAGCAATTATTTTTGCAATTGCATTCATTCATCATCATCATCATTGTTGTTGTTGTTGTTGTTGCTGTTTATCTTTTTTGCTGTTCATTGGACTTAAACTAGAAAATTTGTAAGATAATTGCTTGCATAAGAAACACTAAATGCCATAATTAAAGTTTCGAATAAATTTTTAATGATGATCGATTTTTCTTTGAATTAATCATACTTCAATCAAATTTATAGTTTTGAACAGTTACAGGTGAGATATGAGTATAGAAGGAAAATCATCATTAATATTTTTAGCTATTCAAAGACAATGTAGATCAGAGCTTCCTTGAGAGCACTGATCTAATATACAAGTACAATTAAAAGTTTTGATATCATAATCATAGAAGTTAAGGAATTTTACTCGACTATACTTTGCACTGACTATACTTTGATTAGAGTTTTAATTTCGAATGGAAATCCATATTAACCTTAATGTACGTACGAAGCATATGAGTTATTGATTTATTGGAGAATTCTCAAAATTCCATGGGCGGCCCATATTACAAACAATGAAGTTTTACGAAGAATGAATTGTAATCGCTAATTATTAGCAACTATAAAGAAAAGCAAAACAGTCTACCTAGGGCATAGTATAAACTATCTGTTATATGAGCTACTCCAAGTGATTATTCAGAAAAAAATCGTAAGGAAATGTAGTATTGGTTGGAAATAATTTTCATAACTGCGTAACATCCGACAATGGACTGGAATACGAGTGGTTTACAATCTTATAAATATAGCTTAAAACAGACAATTTGTTATTATGTTTATTGAAAGTTAATATAAACACTGTGGTTTTATTTAATATGAACACCAATATTCAAAATCGAATTAGCAAATGACAAAGAAAATGGTCAACCAAAAAAAAAAATGCAATTAATTAACAATAATGAAATATTGTTTTTATTCACTACTATTTTTGGTTGACAATCTTTTTTTTTATTTGCTAATTCGATTTCGAATATTAGTAATCATTTAATAATTAAATCAGTTAATAGGTAATTCACTTAATTAACAATAATAAAATATTGTTGTTCTTATTCACCACTCTTCAAAAACAGCTATTAAGAAATCGCATAAACATGTATATGTGTTAGAAATGAAGTGAGATTGTATGCAACAATTTTGTCATAGTCTAACCAGTGTAGAGTTAAGTCACTATGTTAAGTTATCTTCAACTGCATCTAACGATCCATTCTTTGGAATTCTTCTTGACTTACAACCATCTTATTTTCTTTTAACAATTCTCATAATGTGGCTAAAGCAAATTATCCGTTTGATGATGAAACAAATTTATTTCATATATTAAATATATTATATATATGTCATATCATATGATATACATATATCATATTATTAATATTTAATTAAAATATTTCTTAGTTGTAGTGCTGAAAGTCGCATTTCTGAAAAAATGTGTAAGCCATCTTAAACGTTTTAATTAGTTAGTTAATTAGTTATGTATCTTAGTTAGACAGTTGTTCCCGTGCAAGTTCTAAAGATATTAACTGCAAACTAAAGAAAATTATAGATTTTCTTAAGTAGTATTCGTTCAAAGATAATGACTTGCAAGCAATCTAAAGCCTTAAGTATTTCTACCGCACTATTACACGTTAGAAATGTTTTATATATTTTGAAATATATGGTTTATATATTAATTTTTTTATTTCCTTTTTTATTGGATATAAATTTATTATAATTATTTATAGTTTTTAAAATGATTATTATAAAATGATTCCCCAGGTTTTTAACGTTAAAAACCAAAGCGCTGGCTACCAGTTTAAATCTGGACTATCTATATCTCACTGCCGTATGTTAGAAATTTATTATATATTTTAAAAATTAAAATTATTTATTAATTTATTCTTTCTCTTTGTTTTTTTTTGAGCACTTTTTGTTTGAAGATAACAAGTTGATCTCAAACATATAGTAAATGTTAGAACATATAGTTCTCACTACCACATGTTAAAAATATATTATATACTTTGAAATTGAAACGATATATTTTGGTTTTAATTTACCTAATCTATCTATAGTAACATATAGATATAAATTATAAATAATATATGTATATAAATTTATTATTATAATTATAGAAGCTTATAGCGCTCTTTCTTAAATATTTTTCCTTACAAACCAACGAGCGGTTCGTTGTCTCAAGCATTGAGTATCTATGCCTCACTGCCGTATGTTAAGAATATATCATGTATTTTAAAATTGAGACCATGTATTTAGTTTTTGATTTTTTTATTTTTTGAATATAAGTTTGTTATTATAACTACATAGGTCAATAGATTATATTAATTATTTATTTGTTGAAAAATAACGACTTGCCTGCAATGTTACATTTGTCTTCTCCTCACCGTTGCAAGTGAGAAATCTGTTATAGATTTTAAAAATCTCAAAGATCTTTTAAGATATAAATTTCTTATTATTTTTATTATTATGACATGTTTTAAAAGTACATTCAATTAGAAATTGATTGCATATCTAAGAACTTGATCTGTCTACAAAAAGTTTCCAGTTGTTTCTATTCCGTGTCATGTGTCTAAGCTCGTTAAACGACTTGGATGTTTATAGTTTTGTTATTTGAATATTGTTGTAAATTTTTTATAATTATTACTAACATGTTTATTAATTTTACAGTTAATTGTTATAAATACAAAATAAGAGTAAATATTTGAAAATCTTTATTGCAGTATATAATATACATATTCCTTTAGGAAGACAGTGTGACCGCAAGTAAAACTTCACAAACACAAGAAGCACCAGTTCTGTTAGTTTGATGGAACGTTCTTCTAGATTGGGAGTCAAAATTGTTTTAGATATATTCCAAATCGTTGATGTAGTCCTTCTTTAAAAATCTCTTCATATTCATCTCGTCCTTATGATTCAGATTAAAAAGTTGCTTATTCGTTTCTGTTGAAAGAAAGAATCGTTTATTAAATTTTATCACACACACAAATTGCAATATAAAATTAATTTGAAGAAATATTTGAACAAATCTAAATTAGTATTTTTATATCTTTCCAAAGAAAGAGTAAAACTATAAAATTTATAAATTAATATAAATTTATTCTTAATTAAATTAATTTTTAGACTGACCATACAACTTTTTCAAATATTGCTAAATGCCAGTGGTCTTCGGAAATACGTGAAGATTTAATAACCCATATATAACTTTTGGACTTAATGGTTGGTTGGTTGCAGTGGCAGGCCATTAGATAACTTCCATGTACCACAATTAGCGATTTTTCGCCGTGTTACTACCACACGGCGTAGAGACTAAATCCATCCCGTCGAATTTAGATAATTGGTCTTTCGTCTTCACCGATGAACAATATAATAAACTATCAAAGAAGTGTCTTCCTAAGATACTGCAGTAGTCTTGCAGTGTTCACGCAGTCTCTTTAATGAGTTTCGGGGAGGACTTAATAGCTTATATATAGTTTTTAGATCGCAAGTATCAGGAAGAATACTTTTTCTATAACCTAGATATCTCTAATTTGCTTCTGTATGTCAAGTTAGAGGTTCTGCATTTGTAATACCTTGATCATGTAACACTGGAGCTGACTGTTGAGGCAGTATAGGCATATAGCACGTAGTAATATTAGTTTTCTTAGTTGTAGGCATATTATATGGCTTGTAATTATCACTTTTGCCTAAACTAACTCCTAATCTCTCTCAATGCTCTAAGATAAAATTTTTTTCCCTCGCTGGTTGCTACTACTTTTATCAAAACTATTATAATTATTAATTATTGTTTGTTATTAATATATTGTTTAAGCAGTAGCTAAAAGGCAAATTTACTTTAAAAAAATTGTTATTTATAAATAAGAAATGATAAAATAATTTCCATTTAATTTAATAATCGATTTCATTTCCACAAAGTATTATGCAAATAAATTTAAATAAATTTCTTTATATTAAAACTGCACATCTCCACAAACCCTTTTTGAAATATTCTCACATAAATATAACCACAAAATTCAAAAATTGTCCAAGGATTTAAAATCAATAAATAATTTCATATAATTTTCTCAACTTTTGTTGGAAAATCACGAATAAGTGGGTTAATCGAATTCAAATTGTAACTCCCCTCTTACATCGCCAGCGCTTTTCTTTTGCCATCAACTTAGCACTTGCACATTTATGCTTCACTTTGATTGCAGTTGAATTTGTTATTTGTTGCAATATTTTATGTGCAACATGAAACATGCAACATGAAAGTAAAACCGCATTAGAAAGACGTAATCGAATAATAGAGTACCGGAGTAACGGAGTTACGGAGTAAGTGGTAATCGGTAAGTGGTAAGTGGTGAGCAGCAAGTGGGACACTGGTTTTTGCAGTGCTGGTGCAGAGGTGCCTATGCATGTTTTTGTACCATGAAATGCATGCAACAGTGAATGGTGGCTGCTCGTAAGTAGTTCGTAATCGGGAATTGCAGTGCTGCAACTAAGAAGTAATGACAGTGAGGCAATCTGGCAATCCGGCAGTCTGATAGTCAGGCAAACGGGCACTCAGGCAAATGAAAAATTTTCACATAACTAGCGTTCACTATGCGAATTTCTTGCAACATTTGTCGGTCGTTGGGACGTTGCTACCGACGCTCTTGACTATCATGGCAACCTCTCATGGTAACCGATTTCTTGGCAGTTGTTATATCATACAAGGAAGCAACTTCACAATTTATGATGTGAAATAGTTGGCGAATTAAAAAAGAGTTGCACCAACTGCAAGTAATTAAAACGGTCGTTCGATTGTATAATGGGAAATTAATTTAGTTTGCTAATTTTGCATGGTATGCTGAGGGGAGAGGAATAAAATTTCACATATGTCATAGGTATTAGAAAAATTCAATGGTTTTTCAATAGTTTTCTTATGATTATAGATTAAGTGATTTTCTTTATTAATATACAATATCCGTATCTTTAGTTTTGAAAGTAGATTGTTGTTATTAAATATGACTAATAGATATAATAATAATAAATAACATATAATTAAAAATTTATTAATTATATAATATATAAATATGCTTGTAATTATATATATGAAAATATTTAATTTTTAATTTAATTATGAAAAAAATATTATTGAATTGATTTTATATTTGAATTTTATATATTAGGGAAGTCATTAAAATTGATCAAATTAAATAAAAAGAAATAGAGTTAAATAAATTAAAATAAAAATAAATTATCAACATAATATTAACTACCGGAATAGTTCCATAAACACCTTATTAAAAACTTGGTAAATTTCAAGAGCCAAAACATATTAAAAGCCATCCAGAAATCTGATTACTAAATACCTGTATAATAGTCACAATATTTTTAAATCTTTAAGAATCGCGATTGCAAAATCGATTTAGCAAATAAAGAAGAAGTAAACATCAAAGCAAAACATTATTTGTTAAAACTTAGACTACTTCCCAATAGAGTAGAAGTCCTTGACAAAATTTATCTGGTATATGTAATCTCTTCTTTTCAAATCAAGATGATCTTGATTTTCTCCGATTAATTGGTACAAGTGTAATAAAAATAAATATATACCTTCTGCTCAAAAAGTATTCGGATTTTGTTGTTTGTTAACTACTCCTTAATTAATAGAACTTTTTCAAAAATTTTTTTTGTTATGTTGCTACACCCTTTCTTGACATATGGTACAAATTTGAGTACCATCTGTCAATTAATTTGTTTACACCAGCTGTTAATGTGAGACTACCTCAAGTGCATTTAGCGATTTTTACTATGAAAAATTCTTGCTGTTTGCTATTTTTTGACCAAACACTGTCATCGCTCAGGTACCATATTTGCCAAATCTGGATCCGTGCGACATTTTTCTGTTCTCGAAACTCAAATTGCCCCTTCGTAGTAAGCGTTTTGAGTCGATTAAATCTAAAAGCCATACCTACACGAGTCTACGAAAAGTGTATGGAAGATTGGGTTAAGCGTTGGCATATGTGTATCGCTTTTATCTGATTACTAGATATATGTGCAACAGTCACAAGATTTCTAAATCAAAATAAACTTTAGAAAAAATATATGGTGTGTAACCAATACTTCCTTCTAACCAAGTATAATCCCTTTGCAATATTTTTGTAGGAGTGTAATCTTTACAGGCCTCTTCGAATTGACATTAATTTAGTTCCATTTGAGTACTGATTGCAAGTGCTGTAGTGCTGTAGACCTCTAATATTTGAATAGAGTTACAAAACGCTATGCCAATCGTCGAAACTAAATGCGTCTGTGAGGAAAGTTATTAGGAAGGTTAAGATTCCAACATATAAAGATTCTCTTTTTATATCTTAAGATTTTTGGTAGAAATGTAGTAATAAAATAGCAAAAAATCGCTAATTATGTACAGCGGAAGAATATCTGCTGATTAACCACTGCAACTAACCAATCAACTATTATATTCCCGGATGAGCAAAACTACTCAATTAACCAAATTAGACAAAATATGTAATAGAGTCATAAACTAATAGACATTTCGCTGGGAGAAATGGCTTATATCAACGAGATTCTCCATAGTCACACAAAGTATGTATAGTACTAGCCAATAATGATGAAGAAAAAAATGACCTTTTATTCTGAAGGTACTCTTTGTCGATAATCTCGAACATTGTCGTAAGACTGTTACATATAAAATTCGAAATTAGTTCGAAAAATTTGATTGTTTTCAACATTTTCATAGAATAAATTATTTTCATGCTAGTTCAATATAATCCCATTTAAAGTAAAGTTATAGTGTTCTACACAATTCAAGTGGGCTACCTTGTACTATTACTATGTTATATTTAATTAAGAACTAAAGCAATCAAGTTAAGCAATTGTATAAACCAAAGATTCTACTTTCTTTAAAAAAATGTATCTCGAAAAATATAACAAAAAAATATATAAAAGATGTACATATATATATCCTTTCGAGAAATATACATGAAAACTTAATTTTCTATATAAATAACTATAAATTACTAGATTATTAGTTTAAAATACCGGACACTGCCAACTGCTGCTATCTATCTTGACATCTATTAGGTCAAGAACTACAGCGCCTTGGCTTGACACCTTTACTACAAAATATACAAATTCTAATGGAAAGTTCTCAGTTTAATAAAGTAATAACTTTACCTACGATTTTCTATCAGAATTTCTATAATGATTCTTAAATTATTTTTATTTAGTTTAATGCAATCCTTATACCGTTTGTTACTTAAACTCTCTATAAGCGTTTTTGATTGTGATAATCTCGATTATTTGTTCCAATGTCTTTTCCTCTGTTATAATGAGTAAGTGGGAAATTACATCTACCTAAGTCACAGAACGATTCCGGATTTACAAGCAGTAAGACTCCTTCTTTTCTGACAAGTTTGCAATTTTATTGCGAGAAATTTCAGCGTGACCTTGATGATCCATAGATGCTCTATGCTCCACTAGAAGAGAAGAACATCAGTAAGTAAGTTTGTGATCCATATCTGATTGCTTTGATCAATCATATCATGTTTGATGTCTTCTTGTAAAAAGTCGAGAATCTTTATTGCTATCAATTTGGATAGCTATTATATATTGTTCTGATAATTACTTTCAAGATTAAAGTGAACACACTTTTCTATAGCATAACTTTTTGTTACAATTGCAATTATATTATTAGTTTATAACTATTACTAATATAACTTCATGTTATATTTTCATTGTACGTATTAGATATTTAACATTAGCCCTCCTAAACCTTCTTACAAATCGACTGTTGTTTATAAGATTTGTAGCTAGCTCATCGGGATGCCTCTGTATCCTTTCTAAAACATAGAAAAAAATATTGAAATGAATAAATCTTTTCTAATCTGAATCTGTTTTTAATTAAATATTAATAATTTTAAAAAAATAATAAATCGCTATTAATAACTATTAATAAATAG